AGCAGCTCTTTGAGTAATACTCCCCATGCATCTGAAGAATCTTCAGTGGATGAGGAACAGTCAAAGGTAAAAACTATTCTTATAGTTTACCATTTAATGAAGTTCTTTCCAAAGACAAAATATTTGAGGTTCTGTTATGGTCACTTTATTTTTATGTTTGTAAAGGTTTAGGAAGCAGTAAGGAGGAGATGGTCTACTAAGATTTTTCTTCAAAACTTAGGATTTAAATATTTTTTAAATCCTCAATTGCCTTTTGAGTATTTTCTCTTTTTTCAGGCCTTTGGTATCATTAGAAGCATTTCTGAGGGGATGACAGAGGAAAGGATTAGCCAAAACAAATGTCCAATGTCCTGGCTGAACAAGGAGAGATCCCCTTTGTGGACCTCTACAGTTTATATCAAAACTTACCAGTAATGAAGTGCCAGGGACTCAGATGCTGCCTGAATGGGACTTGTGCCTCCCTGAGAAGATAAATTTGTCTGGAAAATTCTCTTTGTCTCACAAAATTCAAAAACTAGACATGAATAAATAGTTGTTGGAGTAGCAACTGATTGCCATGCTGACATCTCCCTGTTAATAAAGTTTCTGAATTTTTCAGATCCACTTCTACGATACTCAAGAATTAGAGACCTGGCCCAGTGGTGCACACCTGTAATCCAGTGATGGGGAGGCTGAGGCAGGAGGATCACAAGTTTGAGGCCAGCCTCAACAACTTAGCAAGACCCTATCTCAAAAATTTTTTTAAAAAGGACTGAGGAGGGCTAGGGTTGTAACTCAGTGGTAGAGTGCTTGCTTAGCATGTGTGAAGCACTGGGTTCAATTCTCAGCACCACATACAAATAAACGAATTTAAAAAAAAAAAAAAAGTCCATCAACAACTAAAAAAATATTTAAAAAAAGAACTGTGGACGTAGCTCAGTGTACACCACCCTTGTGTTCAAACCTCAGAAACAAAAAAAGAAGAAGTAGTAGAGTAGGGGTGGAGGTATACTCAGTTGTAAAGTGCCACTGGGTTCCATCCCCAGTGCCCCCAAAAAAAGGAGTTGGTTTGGGAAAATGAATTTGAGGAACAGACAGACTCCTAAGATTCTTTTTAGTCACTTATAGTTCTTATAATAAGCCATCTTATTATAAGACCAGGGGAGAAAAATACTGTATATTGTCACTTCTAAGACTCATTTTCACTTTGACAACTCCTAAAATTAGGATGCATCTAACAAATAATGGTTTCTTAATACCATGCAGTAGTTGGAGAATAAATGGTGACAAATTTACTGTAACAAATTTTCACCTAATGATTTTAACAGAGCTGACTAGATTCTTGACATCTCCTTATTTACACCTCATAGTTAGCCCACCTTGTCCGTGACTCATCTGTTCTCTCTTCTTAACTACCCCAGAGCAGCTCTTGCCTCTGCTTTTCTTCCCTCATTCCCAAAGACTGTGCCTCTGTTTTGTTTCTACTGGGAAGTCAGAATACTTGAGCTCTCCTTTAGACTAGCGGGTGCAGCAGCGCTGACAGAAATAGCTTTCCTTCAGCATTCCTGGTCATATGAGTCCTCCCTTCATACTGGTGCACACACCAGGCTGGCTGTGGCATCTCTCTAGTGTTGGCAAGTTCATTTCTGCCTGATGTCCTGGCAGATTTCTCCAAAAGGCATGACTGACCTTGTTTGTTTGTGCTAGCTCTGAAACTCTTTTGAAGGAAAAAAATGAGAACAATTCCTATGCAAATACTATACTTTGAAGTCTTACATAAAAGTGTTAACAAAGTAGATTGATAGAGTAATCCTTTAAGAGTATCCAAGGATCATTTTCAGATTTTGAAATTCTAATTTTTTTTACAGTAGGATCTGATTTTGCATTGGCCAATTTTCTTTGGTCTTTTTCTAAACCCATCTGGGAATTTGTAACTGGTAAAAGAGTAAAATGTCCAAGAGTGGTTGTTTCTAAGTTTGCTGAGGCACATGGCTGCATGAACAAAGGAGCCTTTTCCAGAAAGAGCCCTGTGAAATTAAGGGATTGTGCAATCGGATACAAGGTGCATTCTCCCTGCCTTTCTGTGCTGGGATGCTGCCACTAGAAAGAGCAGGGAAAGATATGGATGAAAGTTAGCAAGACAGGAGATCACAGCCACATCCATCTTTCCCTGTCTCATGCTGGGTACGTCTAAGGTGGCCACTGAGACTGAATGGAACTCTTCTCTTGAACAAGTTAGGATCAAGCTGGAAGTTGATTAGAGAGGGAAGATTTCATTTACCCCAGTATAGCCTGAATCCTGGTGGCTTATGGTCCTAGGACAATATAGATTATGGAAACTCCAAGCTAATTACTATTAAAGTAAGGTACTAGATTTGAATCCTGCTTGAGTAAACAGAACAGAAAGATTAGTAGACAGCAATACAACCTATAATGAGTATTCTTTCACTGGCCTTGATGAATCCCAGTTTTTTTCTTATAGTCTGACAAAACAGATAGGCAAAGTATGGTACCAGCCATTCCAGGACACATGTTCTCACAATCAGATAAATTCTCCTGGATCAGAAGATTAATAAACAGTACAGTAGCATTTTCAATTAGACTATTATATGCCATAATCTTCTCACTACTTCCTTTTCTTAGGCAATCTCAGAACTGGTCAGCCCAGACATCTTCATGCAGTCTCATCCAGAAAATGCAATTTCAGTCAAAGAAATCATCACTGAAATTGAGTCCATCAGTCAAGGAGTTGGGCAAATTCAGATAAAAGGGGACATCCTGTCCAACCCATGCCATACACCAAAGAAGAGCACCATCTATGAACTGCCCCTTGAGAGGACCCAGGCCCCAGAGAACAAACCTGAACCTTTAGAACAAGATGAGGGTTTCTACACAACCCAGCCTGAACTAGCCAAAGACTCAGGGAAGTACAACCCAGAAAGCTGTCTCCGCACACACTCGTCCACAGCAGACTCGGAAGACGAGGAACCAGCTGAGGGGGAACACGAGCTGTGGGGTCCAGGGATGCAGTCAGGTGCCAAGTGGTGCTCTGGGTCTGTGAGGCGAGCCACCCTGGAGTTTGAAGAGCGCTTACGGCAGGAGCAGGAGCACCATGGTACCACCCCTGCATGTACCTCATTGTCTACTCGCAAGAATTCTAAAAATGATTCTTCCATGGCAGAMCTGGCACCAAAAGGAAAAAATGAAGAATCCACCCCAGAACATTCATTTGTCCCTGAGGAACCAGAGATGAACAAGGGCAAAGGGAAAGGCAGCGGGTCTGAGGCTGGCTTACTTTCCCATTGTGAGCAGAGTGTCGTCGTTCCAGCACTTGAGCTGTCAGACTATCACCCCTTGCCAGCTCCCAGGGAGTGCCCAGGGTCAGATACTAGGACAAAGCAGGAAGGAGTCCCAAAGGAGCAGAGGACTGTAGTTTCATACCAAGAATCTGAGACACAGGCCATCCCTCTTCCTTTTCCTAAGAGGATAGAAATCATTGAGTACACCCACACAGTTACATCACTTGATCACACTGGGTCAGGTGGTAAAATAGCCACCAGTGAAGGGAGTGGGGAACAAGGATTGAGGAATGTGAAAGTGGAGAAGTCTGTCACTGTGCTCTGTGCACTTGATGAAAATCTGAACAGGACTCTGGACCCCAACCAGGTTTCTTTGCACCCTCAAGTGCTACCTCTGCCTTGTTCTTCCTCTCCTGAACATGATAGACCCACCAACCCAACCTCTATGAAGAGCACCCCTGAAGACAGGGACGGCATCCCATCAACAGCCCTGGAGACAGTAGCACCTTTTGTCAGTTGCACAACCCACATACCATCTGCCACCTTGGATTACCTGAATCCCCATACCGTGGTTCACCTGGAAGGCTTCACAGAGCAAAGCAGCACCACAGACAGTGAGCCCTCTACAGAGCAGGTTAGCTGGGAAGAAAGGCAGGAGGATCCCCTCTCCAGGGGATATGAAGTGACCCACATGGGTTCTCAGTTCAGTAGTGAAGACCTAAGTGTAATTGGCAAACTCAGTGATAGCACTGGGGAGTTACAGAAAAAAACAGACCCATCACCTGTAGCTTGTCGATTCCCACATAGCTCCAGTAGTGAAGATATAAAGAATCTCAGTCACAGCCCTAATGTGGTAAAGGAGCGTGCTAAAGAAATTGAGTTGCGAGTGATTTCCCAGGCAGGGTTCACCAAACCATCCCAAATGAGGCGCTCAGCTTCTCTTGCCAAGTTAAGTTACCTGGACCTCTGTAAAGACTATTTACCAGAGTCCCCTCATCTCAAATTGCTTCAGCCCTTCATCAGAACAGACTCAGGCATGCATGCCATGGAGGCCCAGGAGCTCCAAAAAAAACCAGGTGCCCCCCAGAACCCAGAGCCCACCAAGTATTTTGTAGAACAACTCAAAACAACAGAGTGTATTGCACAGAGCAAGCCAGTGGAAAGGCCTCTTGTGCAGTATGCCAAAGAATTTGGTTGTAGTCAGCAGTGTTTGCTCCCCAGGGCAGGACCGGAATTGACTAGTTCTGAAGGAGGCCTTCCTTTGCTACAGACCCAGGGACTGCAGCGTGCAGGCCCAGCTCCAGGGGTGGCTGTGACAACTCGTCAGCAACATGGCAGAACTCACCCCCTTAGGAGACTGAAAAGGGCAAATGATAAAAAACGGACAACCAACCCCTTCTATAACACCATGTGATTCTGAGCCTACACATGTGATTTTCTTAGAGAAATGTTTGTAAAGGGGCAGGTGTAATATGTAAGGAACATGCACTTTATTGGTTAATTTTATAATATTTTGGTCATATTACTGTTCCTGGCGCATGCAGGGTTTGGGTTTTTCTTGGTGTGTATGTGTATATGTGTGTGTGTAGAGAGAGGTTGATTTGGACGGCAAGACCATTTCATCATTTTTTATTTTTAAAAAATTCTCAAACCTCAAAAAAAAAAAGCTCATTTTCAAAGAACACCTTTATCAAAGGCAAATTGCTGTTTTTCAATGAACTGCCACCTGCTTCTCATTTTGCTGTCATGCTTGCTTGATTGAGGGAAGGAAGCAGATGGGGAGGGTGGCACTGAAGCTGGGAATTGGAAGTGCTGGCCCAGGCCTTTGCAGTGATGGTTTCTAGACCTGAGGCATCAAATGGGCTGAAGGGCAGCCAGGACATTACAGTGCCCTCGACCTTCATCTCCACTGTAACCCTGTGGAGTTCCTGAAGTAGGAAYATTCCACTCTGCTTTAAAAGGAGTCTTCTAGAACCAATTTCTTCTGGTATTCCAGAGCATATCAGTACAGAAAAGCATGTTGGCTTTGTAAATTTACCAAGCAAATAGTTTTTTCCCCCAGATGGTAATTTTTGAAATTAGATTAAAAAGGAACCTGGAGTGAAATCCAAGAAGTCTTCTGTAGAGGAGCGCATGATAAGAAGGAGGAGCATGATAAAAGCTAAGGTTGGAGAGGCTGCTGCTGAGTAACTTCTGGGTTGGTACAGTCCATGCAGCTGATCACTCTGGCTCCACCTGCCAGGAAGTGTGCTCTGCAGCACCCTCTCACTGAAACAAAGTAGAGAGACAAGTTTGAAAAACAGCAATCAAGTCCACGTGTTCTTGTAAAATGAATAAATATGTAGGGTTTTAACCCTTCCATTACTTGAATAATCTATGGCCTTTTGAGTTTAATGGCCATATTTTTTTCCAATTTCTTTTCCTCCTCCATTCTGTTTCCCCCATCCTGTTTTTTTAATTTCTTAGATTATATTTGAATTGTTACATATGTATAACCTCCATTGAATGCAGAGTTTTCTATATTATCACTGTTAACACTTGACATAAGATTCCCCCCCCCTTCTGGAAAGTTTATCATTTCTCTAAAGTTTATACACAGTATTTATGTACATAATGTCACTTTCTTACAATGTTTTGTTGTTAATATTGTGGGGTCTTTTGATTCTTTTTAAAGAAGGAGTAGAGTTGCAACTGGAAAACGACACAAAGACACCAGAAATAAACTGATAGTTGTTGAAAGGAATCTGCGCAGTACATTGATGGTGGTTTTAATTGTTTAAATGGAGACTTTTAATCACCAGCTCCTGCCAAATGATGCATTAGTAACTTCCTCCTTAGAGAAAACCCTAAAGGCTCCCATTAGATCACAGTGTGACCGAAGGCTGATTTCTGTTCGAGACTAAAATCCCACAATGTTGTTTGCCAGTAGCAGAATCACAGCCAGGGAGTATGTGTTACCCAGAGTGGAAGCTCCTAATAGAGGCCTGGGCCACAGGCAAGCACCCATAATGACTCCATTTAGGATATTGTTGCTTTGCTGCTGTGTGGAGAGCCTTAACACAGGAGCACCTGCCATAAACAAGCCTCTTTGAGCTTCTTACAGAAAACATATTTAGCCTGGAATAAAATACCCACCACAGCTCATCAAAACTGAAAAGGCTTGCAAGTTTGCTTCCTGTTTGCTTTGGTTGATGTCCACATTGCTGAGAATTGGCTGAGTACAAACTTGAGACTTAGGTTTTTGGCTCACGAGAGCCCTGAGAGGAAGAGACAGATGTACAGACTTCAAGGTGATGTCAGAGGCCAGAGTTCAGAGGGGGCAGGTGGTAGAATGACCCAAAGGTCCAGATAAACTGGACCAAGGCCATTTGTAGGTGCTGCAGAGGAGCCATGTACCCAGTTGCCATATGGAAGCCATGGTTGTATCTGACATCACTGCCAGGAAGCAGGTTGGACAGCCAGCCCCGTGTGGAAAGTATCTTGTGATATAATAATTTTGTATACCTGTGCTATCCTTCAGTAGTTCCCTTATGTGTTAAAATGTGTCATCCACGGAGCTTTGTGATTCCTGGATATTTATGTGTTGTAAAATATTTTGTTAGGTGGTATGTACCAGTGTGAAGAGGCTCACAGGGTGATGAATTCCAGGACTCATCTGTCTAAACCACCCCGTTTTGTTGAGGCTATTCCACCACCAATAAGATGGGCAAAGGACAAGAAATTGTGGTGGGGCTGGGAAGGGGGATGTGCATGGAGGGTGAGAGTAGCATCCACATCCCACACATTAAGAAGTAAAGCAGTGTGAACAACATGGCACTATGCGTCTTTCTCACCTGCCACTGTGTTTAATGCTCACTCAGTGCATTAAATACTAACAAAGTTGGGCAGGAAACCCTCTAATGCTGTGAAAAAAAATAAAACTTTATTTTCATAAGGAGCAGAAAAACAGTCTTGCTCTGCTTTCCTTTTTTAATTATATATTTTTAATAATTTAACATACCTACCTAAATAAACGCCTTCTACACAACCATGCCAAGGGGTCTTGCCAGCCCTCTCAAACCCCCACACTTGGGTGTTCTTGAGTTATGTACATGGTTGAGCAGTGTCAGGTTCAGGGGGCAGTTGAGAACTTTCCAGACTTTCTTTTCTTCAAACTTTTTGATAATACTGGGTGGCCGGTCTCCCTTTTCTGTTCATGGAAAACCCAGACCTGGATCAACAGGTTTGGTAGATTAATAGAGATGAATGGGAAAACCTTGATCTCTTGTCCAGTGCCTCTCTTTATCTCTTTCTTTCTTTCTTTTTTTGAAGATCACCATAGTCTTTCAATAACTGGAGGAGTATGTGTGCATGTGCATGCATAAAAAGAGTTGACATTTTGGTACATGGGGTAAAACTCTCCAGGAGGACACAGCTGTAATCTAGGTGGTTACCTGTGATCAACAGGAAAGAAATAACAACCCTTTCTTTTGGAAACATTTAATAGTGTACACCACAGTTCTGTAATATGGTAGTATTCCTCCTCCTCCATTTTACTTGCCTTTCAGATTCTATTTAGAACATCTGTTTGGGATCATTCCTAGAATCTCAGTCTCTGAAGCCTCTTTAGTGTTTTCCTGGTTCTGTACCTTTGTCCCAACTTGCATTTCCTTTTTTCTCATTTTGGGAACTACCAGAATCTCTGAGGACAACCTGAGGATGATACCTCAGGCTTTAAAGTCCTTCTTGCTCACGGGCCCCAGACAGATGCTGTCAGGTAGACCTGAAGCTTCCTATGAGAAGCTTTAGAGACATAGCAGTTCACAGAAGTTCTTGCCTGCTTCATCTGAGGATATCACTTCTGAAGTGATCTAGGCATGTTTGGTAAAGATGTTTTGTGGGAGTTGTTTCTTTTTCCTAAGAAAGCATTATGCAAAAAGTCACTTTAAAGGGCATTTTAAAATAAAGCCATCTTTGGCTTTTACAGACAACTTTGTGGGTACTTGGTTTACATTGTATTAAAATATGCATCATCATGTTGACCATTCAGTCTTGTAGGCACCCAGGCCCCAGCTGTCCTATGGGTCCTCACATAAAGCAATGCCATGTCAGCCCTTGTGGATAGGTGGGTAAAACCTGGAGCTGACTTTCATCTGTGTCCTGCACTCCCGTCCAGCGCTGTCTATTAAATAGTTGTCATTTCTTCAGTGGCAGTGTGTCTTAATAGTGATGGTCGTAATGGTGAATGACTAGTATGGTTTTTGTTTAATATTGCTTTGCTTTTTGATAGTAGACAACATGAAATTTTATTTGTTTTAGCACCATTGCAACTTATAGCATTGTGGACTTTGTTTTCCATTCCAAACTAAAAGATCAAGGCATGTATTAGACATAAGTGTATTTGTTGCCTCAGCTCACCCAACATCCATATTAGAAAAAGACCTGCCACCAAAGCAGGAAGCTGCACACTCCTAACCTTTCTCCCAGAGATTGGGGTCCCTTGACGCCATGGAGAGCTATTGCAAGGTGCTTCTGTACTTTTCTAGCCTGGAAATGGAAGATGACTGAGCCTGGTTTTTGCTATGAAAAGAAAACCAGCCTCATCTTCTCAATGCCCCAGAGATCTAGGACAAGATTTCTAAACTGGAATCATCCTTATTATCTTGAATATCCCCCAAGAGGTGTATGGCTGGTATTGCCATCTGTGTCCTCACAGCAACACTGGTGGCAGCATACTGCATACACATGGAGAACTAATACCCAGCCCTTAACTCAAGCTGGTAACCCAAACTGAAAACTGGGGAACTGGTCCTTAAATGTTTTCTAATTAATAAGGCCACGGAATTGTTTGATGTTTATGTTTTGTTGGATTTTGGTTTCCTGGCATAGCTAAAGGTGCCTTTTTTGTTTGTTTGTTACCTACTTTATTTTGTAGAACTTGTTCTAAACATGGAAAACAAGTCCAGAAGACTCACCCACTGACTGTTACCTTTGCCCCAGGCTACCCCAAAATTTATGCTCACATTTTATTAAATAAAGCAGGTGCTCCCTGGAATCTCTGGGACCTTTTTGAGGCATTTGAAGCAGAATATAAGAGTGGTCTCATCTCCTTCCTTAATCTTCCTGGTGGTTGGGATGTTCCACTTGTATCATAGTTTTTTTTTATTACTGATGTGCTCCGCTGTTTTTAAATGTGAACTTGTGCGCAAATGTGCAGATTCAATGTTCTTGTTACAGACTGAATAAATTTTTATTTTGAAGATGAAATGTGTATTCGATTAAGTGTTATAAAGGAGGGGGGTGCTGAGAAAGGTGGAAGGGTTGGAAGAAGAGGACATCAAGAACAGGTGCTCTTGATCTCAGTCAAGCACACCCTWAAGAGATCTAAAGTAAAGAATGTAACCTTCTACCTTTCACAAAATAGAAGACTGGATAGGAAATAGAATCACTAAAAATTGTTAAGACAAGCCAGACACAAGGGTTCACTTATGTAATCCCAGTAACTTGGGAGGCTGAGAAAGGAGGATCACAAGCATGAGGCCAGTGTCAGCAACTTGGTAAGACTCTGTCTCAAAAAAAAAAAAAAAAGTGGTGGAGTGGAGCTGGGAATGTGGCTCAGTGGTAAAGCACCCCTAGGTTCAATCCCCAGTACAGAGGGGAAAAAAAAAAATGGTTTCAGACAGTATGACTCCAGTCAAGTGACCAAGCTGGGAACTTGCCTGGTCAAAGACATTTGCCAAAGCTACCACCTGAATGTTAGCAGAATGAATAAGCAAAGGGACCAAAATTCTTCCACCCTCTGTGGTGCAGAGTGACTGGATAGGGACAGCTGCAGTGACCTGCCCTAGCAGAGGCAGAATTTGGGTGAGTGACCTCTCTATAGACATTAATGAGAGAGCTAACATGCTTTTAGCACAAGCTCACTGAAAGCAAGGAGACATGAGTTTCCAAAGAAGTAAAAACTTTAACTCTCCCACCATAGAAGACAAATATTTGATGTCGGTGACATAGGGAGAAGACAGAGCCTAAGAGCAATTCTAACAAATGAGCTGGGGGTTGGGTGTCTCCTTTCCCACCTCTCCACTGACCCATCACAGAGATATTTAGTGATGCTATTCATCACTACAAGAGAGTACAACCATCTAGAGAGAGCTCAGTTCCCAGGCCCCATCCAAATTGGCTGAAGCTTCCAGAGAAAACACTGCTGAACTAAACTCAGCCTGCTTCATTCTGAATAGTGTATGTAAAGTGGGAGGGGCACACCACTGGTTACTAAGAGAGTACAGATCTGAAACCTCAAATCTTGCAAAATATCACCCCTAGAAGATCAGAAAACTTGGAACATAGTAAAAGATAAGTTCACTTCACTAAATGTTCTAAGAACACTTGGGGTCCCTAACCAGTCTAATAAGCTAATCTTGGCGTTCTAGCTGAAGCAAGAGGATGAAATCAGAGCTAAATTGCCAGAAAATGACTTCATGAGATGAAATCCCAGCCTGTCTCTGTGGACTGCAGTTCAGAACCCATCTGGGAGGGGAGGTACCAAGCCCAAACGGCTTCTTCCGCTGATTAGTTCTTCCGGGCCTTGGCTCTGCTCACCCACAGCTGGACCAGACCTTGGCAACCTTCAGAAGGCTGGAGGGCTGGACTGAGCCAGCCAGGKTCAAGCAAATACCTGTGAATCCTTGCTGCTGTTCTCAGAGCACCCCTCTTCCCAGGTAATGAAACTGAAGGCAAGATGGACTGAGATCCCTGCGTCCTAGTCCCATACCCTTCCCTCTAGAAGGAAGTCCCCCAGCTGTCTTGAAAGTAAAAGAAGGGGTAGGGTGCCATTTCAGAATAGGAGACAGACGTCAAATCTCTTCTCTGCCAACAAATGAGCTAGAACTCCACCCAGTCCACTTCATTTTATAGCCCAGAGAGCTGCAAAAATATGGCTGAGCCAGGATTGCCACCTCAGTTTTCTAATTAGTCCAGGCAATCCTTCCTCTACATTGTGCAACATCAGATCCTTAGAGATACTTGAGATAAAGTGGCACTGCCCTTCAAGGTGAGGCAGAAATGCATACTGTTGAAAAGCATGGGCCGGGGCTGGGGATGTGGCTCAAGCGGTAGCGCGCTCGCCTGGCATGCGTGCATCCTCAGCACCACATACAAACAAAGATGTTGTGCCCGCTGAAAACTAAAAAATAAATATTAAAAAATTCTCTCTCTCTCCCTCTCTTAAAAAAAAAAAAAAAAAAAAAAAAAGCATGGGCCTATATGTCAGACCCTGGGGCAAGAACCTCAGCTTCACTAATCACCAGTTAAGTGATGGGTAAGCTTCTTAACTTATTTGTGCCTCAGTTTCCTCATCTGTAAAATAGAGATAATCACAGTACCATCTCAGAAGCTTGTTACCAGAATGTTATTAAAATGTGTAAAGCCCCTAGAATAGTGCCTAGCTCATGGTGTGAATTATTGATATCATAATATCAATAACTGAGTCACTTTGGTCTTTTTCTCCTATACATGTACCTGGAATCATTTTAGGTAAAAGACTCCTCATCCATCCTCATAGTCCCCTATGCCATGAATTATTTCTGGAGCATCTGTGACAGTTTCTGATTCTGTTCCCCTATGAGCCACTGAATACCTGGACTCATCCTGAAAAACAAAGGAGCCTTGTGGTGACCCTCATGGTTTCCACCACCTTCATTCCTCCTCTGCCCAGTGCTGGTTTCTGCCTTCYAGAAGGCTGTATGCTGCTGATTCCAGCTGTCCAGGCCCCAACCAAATTTGCTGAAGCTTCCAGAGAAAACACTGCTGAACTAAACTCAGCGTGCTAAAGTGGGAAATAATGTTTATCTCCTCCTTGACCTTGGTAAATAGATCTGTGGGTCTTGGGGGAGTGGGAGGAGGCTTCCCTGGAACAGAGTTGGCGCCAGCTCATGTAAGGTCCATAGGACATTAAGAGGCTAAGCATCAGCCTCTGAGGTGGCTACTCTGGTCTCTGAATGTGTTGGAGGGATGGACACCGGTCTCTAAGCTGSTTCCTGCCCTGCTCCATGGAATTGTCTCTAATGGGCGAAATGTCTAACATAATGCCATGGTCTTAGGTTTTCAAATGATCACTATCGCTATTATTAACAATAACATTCACGGTCCCTGGTAAGGTATCCTCGCTGTTGCCCCGGGCCAGTCTAGGCTTTTATCCAAAAACTGAGATTCCCACAGAGCATCTTCTGGGGACTCTTCCCTGCGGGACCTGGACGTGCAGTCCCGCAATTTCGGCCCGCAGGACAGGTTAAATTACGAGAGTGACTGTGGCAGGAATGCGGCACGAAGGCACCTGGCCTCGTGCGCTACCTCCTCTCGGGGCGCGCGCCCACTCGCGAATTCCCTCCCTGGGTCTGAGGACCAGCCAACCTGGGAAGCGCGGAGGGTAGGGTAGGAGCTCGCGCAACCCGCACACCCACGAACACTTACTTTCGACGTTTTTCCGAGGCCCACAGACCCTGGGCTGGAAGTCGGAGGCGCTCCCCTTTCCCGCCGCTAAAGAGGGCGGGGCAGTTTGGGCCCTGGCCCCGCCCCCGCCCAAGGCCCCGCCCACTCCGGTTGATGGCAGCGGCAGCTGGGACTGCAGCGGACCGCGGCCCTGGAGAGCCTCAGGCAGCGGCCCGAGCGCGCAGCCTGACACCCGGGCCCCAGACACCCAGAGAGGCAGTTCCGGCGCCCTGACGCCTTCCTCGGCCCCCGGCGAACCACGGCCCGTTTGGCGGAGGAGTCGCAGCGTGGGCACCCCGCAGCCCGGCTCGGGACCAGGTACACCCCCACCACCGGCAACCGCAGCCAGCGGAGCGGGCGGGGTCTCTGGAGAGACAAAGGTCTGCGCCCCCTCCCCCAGCCGCCAAACTGGGTCCCAGGCTGGGCGGACTTGGTGTCTATATTTGGCCGGACCGAGGCTCGCGCGCCGACACCTTTCACAGGAACGCAGTGCTGGGGCCGGAGGCAGGAGGAGGGTGCGGGGAGGCCGGGCCATAGGCCTGGGCCCCAAAAGTGTTTTGAAGGGCACAGGGATGCTCCGGGCTGGGAAAGGGCAGGAGTCAATGCCCCTTTAGGAGAGCTTGGTGTGCCCTTCGGGAAGAGTAGCATAGCATAGGCACTGGCTCATCACTCTCCCCACCCCTACAAATCTCGTCCTGCCACCTAAGGACCCCACCCCGATGTGAGTTTACAGGAGGAAGGCCCAAGATAGGACAGAGAACCCCAAAAAGAAATTGGACCAAAGTATGGTAGGCAAAAGCCAGAAGACATGTTTCTGGCCTCTTGAAGAAGCAAGTGCAGACAGGAATGGAAGGGGGAGAGGTCCACCTTACACTAGGCCCACCCTCTCAACAGCATGAGAGAAAACTGATGAAAATGGTAGCAGGAAGGACTCAAGTTGGCTGATAGGAGGAACTTCTTGGCAAATTTAAGAATAAAGCAAAACCCCATTTTCCTGAGATGCAAGCTTGGATCTGGGGTGGGGTGGGGGAGCCTGCAATCCTAGTCCCATACTAGCCTTGACACAAGATCCAGGCGCAGGGGTTCACCTTGTAATCCTAATGACTCAGGAGGCTGAGGCAGGAATATGACAAGTTTGAGGTCAGTCTCAGCAACTTAATGAGGCCTTGTCTCAAAATAAAAAAATACAAAGACTGGGGATGTAGTTGAGTGGTCATGTGTCCCTGAGTTGGATCCCAGGTAACAAAACAAAACGAAAAATCCAATGGCCAAGCTCTGTGATTCCAGACAGGATGCCTCTAGGAGATACGGTGACTTTGGTGAAGAGATGTTCATACAAGGAGGATCACCTGGCTCTTCACAACACCATTCTCTCTTCCAAAGAGTATCTGGCTTGGGTCTCTAGTCAGGTCCTAAATCCTAGCTCTTTAGATTAAMTAGCACTTGACAGGTGGCAAAGAACCGTCCCATACTTTGATCACTTTGAAGAAACTTGCTTCCAGAAGCTAACTCCTGGCCAACTACCCCTTCTCACTTACTGTTCTCTCCACTCCTCCTCCCTCCCACAGCTCACAGGACTAAGGACCAAAAGCACTCTGGGCACTGAGATCCTCCATCTCGGCCCCAGCCATGAGCCGGCGTGTGGTTCGGCAGAGCAAGTTCCGCCATGTGTTTGGGCAGGCAGCAAAGGCTGACCAGGCCTACGAGGACATCCGTGTGTCCAAGGTTACATGGGACAGCTCCTTCTGTGCTGTCAACCCCAAATTCTTGGCCATTATCGTGGAGGCTGGAGGCGGAGGTGCCTTTATTGTCCTGCCTCTGGCCAAGGTGAGGGATGAGGGGAAGGAAGCAAGTGGGACCATACTAGTTGGGGCCCCTGGGGATTCCTGACAGCAGCCTGCGTTCTCACCTTAGTTCATTCCTTAGTCAGGAGGACAGTTTGTGTGGACTGACTGCTTGCTCTTCTGTAAGCCTTCAGGAACCAGTGGGGAGACTCCCTCACCCACTCTGAGCAACAGTGTCACAGGGACCTACATCTGCTCCTTAGCCCATTCACCTCTGCATGCAGCATCCTGTTCCAGCAGGAACCAGGACAGGGAGTCTGGTGATAGAAATGATTGGGATGCACTGGAGYCAAGGCATGGCCAGATTTTGTCCTTGGGTTTCCTAATGTCATGCCATTCCCCCATATTTTGGACTGGAGACCCTAGTCCCTAGTTCAGGGTGACTGATTAAATCTCAGAGTAGCACACTGAGGACAGGGTCAGGCTCTGTCCAAATAGTCCCTGGGTACCTACCCCGCCACTATGGTTCTTGCACTGAGGTAGAATGACAGCAAAACATAGGGGGACATAAAACATAAGGTCAGAGCCCACCCTTTCCTAGGAAAGGGAGCTAGGTAATGACTGACCTTTGCTGACCCTTCACCATCTCTAACCCCAGAATGGGCACCCCAACACATGACCTTGACCTGGGTTCTGGCCCCTATACCTTGTTGGGGAGGCCCCTTAAGTGGCAGGGTCGGGCCTGACAATAGCTGGTGACTCACCCCTGACAATGCAGACACCATCCAGAGACACCATCCCCAGGGATCAAATTTCAGCTAGAGCTGCCTCCTCCCCCAGTCTCACTGCCATTTCAGTGCCACATAGCCACCTCTCTCCCCTACTGCCTAGTCTGGGCCAATGCTGGCCCCAGCAGAGATCTCAGAGCTGCTACAAGTAGTCTATGAAGACCCAAAACAGGTGGGCCCCCAGCCCCAGTTTGGGAATAGTAAGTATCAGGATTGTCTACTTCTTGTGGTCCCAAGGTAAAGCCAGTGACAGGGAGACATCTGCCAAGGCTGGCTTGGGGCACTGCACTAAATACTACCTCACCTTAACCTCTTCTACCCAGGGCTTCCCACAGATATTCCAATTGGGGAACAAGCTCAAGAATAGTCTCTTCCAACTAGATATCCTTTGAACTGCACTGGACTGAGAATGCTGGGCTCTACCAGTACCTTGCTATGGGTCCTTGGTTAAGACATCTTACCTCAGTGTTAGATTCCCTAATATTAAATGATTTCAACTCTACCTGCCTTCAGCATTCCAGGAAGTAGACTGGACAGGGTGGAGATACAGAGAGCAGTCTACAAAGAGAAAGCAGATGATGGAAAAATTGAGATGTAAACATTCTCTACTCCAAAAAAATACACAGGACAGGCTGGGTGGGGATGTAGCCCAATGGCAGAGTGATTGCCTGGAATGTGTAAGGTCCTGGGTTTGATCCCCAGTACCACACACACCAAAAAAAAATTAACAAAAAAACACAGGTGAGTGGCCCCCACATCTCCTTTCTCTAACCACTCCAGACAGGAAGAGTGGATAAGAACTACCCCCTGGTCACTGGACACACTGCTCCTGTGTTGGATATAGACTGGTGCCCACACAATGACAACGTCATCGCCAGTGCCTCAGATGACACCACCATCATGGTAGGAGCCAGATGGATGCGGCTGGGCAGTTGGGCAGGGGAGCAGGGAGAGCTGCTTCACCTGTGCTAGGGAAGGTGCTAAAGAGGTGCAGAGTCCCAGATCCCTGCCCAGCTCCCAGGCTATTTTTAGCTACCTGCCCACTCCCTCCCAGGATGCACTGCTCAAGACTAATTATAGCCATGAACAACTTGGGGCCCAAAGAGCAGGGGGCAATGCTCTGAAGTCTCTCTGCTAGAGTGAATGAAGTCTCTGGAGAGCTGACAGTGCCCCCTCCTGGTTTCCAGATGCTTCTGCCCCAGACAGACACCACCACATCTTGCCCTGTATTTGATCCTTCCCACTCAAAGAGAGCCAGTTAAGTGGAGGCAGGGGWGGAGAGAAGGATCAGAGTTGGCTACCTTTACTTTTTTCTCCTACCCAGGTGTGGCAGATTCCAGACTATACCCCTGTGCGCAACATTACAGAACCTATCATCACACTTGAGGGTCACTCCAAGCGTGTGGGCATTCTCTCCTGGCACCCTACAGCCAGGAACGTCCTGCTCAGTGCAGGTCTGAGGGCCTAAGGAGGGTTCTTACTGTAGATGAGAGTCAGGGGGACAAAGGCAGGTGACCATGCCTGTCTACTCTGGACAGGTGGTGACAATGTGATCATCATCTGGAATGTGGGCACTGGGGAGGTACTGCTGAGCCTGGATGAAGTGCACCCAGATGTCATACACAGTGTGTGCTGGAATAGCAATGGTAGCCTGTTAGCCACCACCTGCAAAGACAAGACCCTGCGCATCATTGATCCCCGAAAGGGCCAAGTGGTGGCGGTGAGTGCCTGGCCTGGCCACTCTCGAGCAGCCTTTCCCAGTGACCAGCTGTTAGCACCCTATACCCACAATCATCAGAGCTGCTAGTCCCAGCTTTCACCTGCCCCATCCCTATCCCACTAGTCTAAAGACTAGTCGTCCCCACCCCCACCTCCGCACCCATTCCCCCGCCCCTGCAACCAGAGGTCCCTTCCTAAGAAAGCCCCCAGCCTGCAATTCTCTGCCCTGGTTCCTGTTCCCTCCCCTCCCCTGCATCTCAGAAGTTCAGAGAAGGGCTCCTTGCTTTGAGATTGAGGGGAGAAGCTGGAAACTCCACCCTCCCACCAGAACCTGCATGAAACCTGAGCTCCGGGACCCTCTCCTCTCTGCCGAGGACCCTCTCTCCACCGTCTTCCAGGGTCTGGGGCCTGCCCATTGAATGGAGGACTGGCCCCTTGCCGCTTTGTTGACCTGCTGGGCGGGAAATGGGGCAACCCTCGCGCGTTGCTTGTCGCAGCTGGGTGCCCTGGGAGGTCAGCGGTCTTCGCCCATCCTCAATATAATCTGGAGTGTGGGGTGCATGGGGCGCGTGCAGGTCTGGGTAAAGCACGCAAGTTTAACGCGGCGGGGACAGTGAGTGGGCGGGCTCTCTAACCCACTAACCCCGCAAGCAGGAGCGAGCCCGACCTCACGAGGGCGCCCGCCCACTGCGGGCCGTCTTCATCGCTGACGGAAAGCTGCTCAGCACCGGCTTCAGCAGGATGAGTGAGCGGCAACTCGCGCTCTGGGACCCGGTAGGCCAGGCCGCGCCGGGCGCGCTCGCTCGCTCGCTCGCTCGCTCTTCTATTGGGTCAGCCAGGAGTGCCCTCCAGGCGGTGGCCCACACCCAAGAGGCCCGAACGGAGCAGGGAGCTCCCATTTGGGAAAATTCTCGCTGCGACCCCGGGAGCCAGCAGACATCGCCTGCTCTAGGGATCAACCTTTGAGGGAGCTTGCGGGCTCAGGATCTGCTGAGAGCCTCGCGCCACCTGCTCTCTCCGGGCCCAGACGTCCTCCATGCCAGGAGCCAGCCTTTGGCCCCGGGAAGCTGAGTTCTTAGGACCCTTTTTGTCTCTCCCCCGCCTTCAAGCCCCACACCCAAGTCAAGCAAGCTGGTTGCTCGGCCCTCCATGCTCTCCAGGGCAAGCAGCTGGGTGACGCCCCTCCCTTCTCCCCCTCCCCCAGGAGAGGTTTGCAGCCCACGAGGGGATGAGGCCCATGCGGGCTGTCTTCACGCGCCAGGGTCATATCTTCACTACGGGATTCACCCGCATGAGCCAGCGAGAGCTGGGCCTGTGGGACCCGGTAACGCAGCTGGAGGCTTGGGGTGTGTGCCCCAGGGACTGGCATCACGGGAGAGGGGCCAGGCGCCCCCGACCCGCAGGGCATGCCCAACTTGGCAGGGCTGGAGGCTGCTGCCACCTCTGCAGCGCCTGCCATCCCCCCACCCACCCCTCTGCCCAGTTTTGCTGCGTCGCCTGAAGGAGCTCGTGCTGGTGCCCCCACCTGGTGATGCCGAGTCCCTGGGGGTGGTTTGCGGTGACTGCATGTGTTGGCRCTGAGGCTAAATGTGCCTGGGAGGGAGAGTGATGTGTCCAGGGAAGGCACCTGTAAGCTCTCTGCCTTGGGAACGCATGGAATCGGGTGGACAGGAAGCCCCAAGGGGGTTTCGAAGTAGCACGGAACAATGGGCAGGGCTGGTCACTCCTCCTATGCTCGGGCAGAACAACTTCGAAGAGCCAGTGGCACTGCAGGAGATGGACACCAGCAACGGAGTCCTACTGCCGTTCTACGATCCCGACTCCAGCATTGTCTACCTGTGTGGCAAGGTGCTCGCAGCCGGGCGGGGAGAATTTAGAGGGCAGGCTGGAGATATGAGGCCTGACCCTGAACCGACTGGTTTTGCAGGGAGACAGCAGCATTCGGTACTTTGAAATTACTGATGAACCACCTTTCGTGCACTACCTGAACACGTTCAGCAGCAAAGAGCCGCAGCGGGGCATGGGTTTCATGCCCAAACGGGGGCTGGATGTCAGCAAGTGCGAGATCGCTAGGTCAGCAGTCTTGGCCCCTCTGTCCCCCTACTCGTGTCAGATCTTAAAAAACCGGGGCTTCCCTAATAGTGCAGTGTTTTGGAATCAGAGAAGGTGGGCGGTAGGATCAAACATGTCTTTTTCAGCTGGGTGACATCCCAGCACTCACTGGCCTGTCATTTTCTGAACTTGTTTCCTCATCTGAAAAAAAGATAACGAACACTCCATCAGAGGTGTTTTACCCCAGAATTGATAATGTGTATAAAGTGCAATGGGCATTAGGCGTTCACAAGTATTGACCTCCAACCCCTTGTTCCCAGATAAGAGAAGTTAAGGGGGTGGGAGTCTGCAAGGGTGTTGAACACATTTCCCTTACAGGTTTTACAAGTTGCATGAAAGAAAATGTGAACCCATCATCATGACTGTGCCCCGCAAGGTGAGGAACGRGAAAATAGGTCTGGCAGGGTTCCCCGAGGTGTTAAGGGAGCGCAGCAGGCCCGGTGCATAGACTCATACGGGACCTGTCCACCCACCCCCGCAGTCAGATCTGTTCCAGGACGATCTGTACCCGGATACACCGGGCCCAGAGCCGGCCCTAGAAGCGGATGAATGGCTTTCTGGCCAGGACGCCGAACCCGTGCTCATTTCGCTGAGGGACGGCTACGTGCCTCCCAAGCACCGAGAGCTCCGAGTCACCAAGCGCAATATCCTGGACGTGCGCCCGCCCACCGGCCCCCCACGCAGCCAATCGGCCAGCGAAGCATCCCTGTCGGTAAGATTAGGCCTAGCTCCGTTGTCCCAGTCTGCACACCCCCTACCACCCTTCTCCGATAAAAGCTTCTGTCCTCTGCGCCTCAACAGCAACACACCCTGGAGACGCTGCTGGAGGAGATCAAGGCTCTTCGCGAGCGGGTGCAGGCCCAGGAACAGCGAATCACGGCTTTGGAGAACATGCTATGCGAGCTGGTGGACGGAACGGACTAGACCCGCTTGCTGGGCGGAGCTCTGCGCTCAGCGGGCTGGATGGGGCGGGGTGAATGGACTGGCCTTGCCAATGCTTTAGGTCTGGGACTCCGGACCCCACCTCCCTAAGCTGGGACCAGGGATTCAACTGGGAAGGAAGCCCCGCCCCTCACAGGAGACCTGAACCAAAGGAGTGTCTTGCAGGSGCCTGGGCTGAATGCTTGGTCCAGGACTCAACAGGAGCTGGCCTAGGGAGGCCCAGGGTAAAGGGGGCCTCAGCAATGGTGCTGCATGGCGAGGTGGTGTCCCCCTCTGTCCCTCGCCCAAGGCAAGGGAAGTGCTTAGCGCGATGCTTGGGGATATTAGGGGGCTTGGGTTTGATCTCAAATGGGTGGTCTCCCCACACTGGCCCTTCTCCTAATAGGCTCACTTGATTCTACCACCCCGCCAGACAGACAGCACTCCAGTTCTGCATACAGATACAGATACAAACCCGTTCCCCTACAGAGACCTACCCACTGGCAACATTGTCAATGGCGGAGAGTTCTATTTCCACCACCAGGGGCGAGGCGAGCTTCCTCAAGACAGGCCCCTCTGGAAGAAATCTCATAACTGACATGAGGAAACAGGTTCAACACACACACCCATACCCACACGCACGCACTGCTCCCAGCCCTTTGGAGACATAATGAAATCTTTTACCGAGTGCAAGTTTGGGCCTCCTGCATCGGTGGGGGTGAGGAGATGCCCAGCCTCTGTGAATGTGATTCCCCAGATTCCTGGGGAACCTAACAAATGCAACCCTGGGCTCAGGACTCACCAGGCAACCTCTTACCCAGAGCCTTCCTCAAGACAGGTTTGGCAGTACCTGAACCCCTACCCACTGTGGGTACTCCTCCCCAGTAAAGTCAGGTAGGAAAAGCCTCCAGTTTGAAGCCTCTTTTATTTGTGCCTCAGAATCAGTCTGGTGCCCCTGGCATCAGGGAAGGGAGTGGGAGAAAGTTTCTCTTTGTTGCTCTATTCTTCTGTCCTTCTGAATCTCACTGGCTGAGCCAGGGGAGGTCAGTCCAAGAGAGACCAGAGGCAAGGGTGTACTGTGGGTCCCTTCCCCTGATGGGGTCTGTGCTTCTCTGGGTGGGTGAGGAGGGGCAGGGGAGAGCCGGGGGTTAGCACCATTGGATGAAGGGTTTTACAGTCAGCCCCTGAATTGGGGCAATAGGGATGCACAACCACAGAGGGCTAGCAGCAGCTGGTGGGAAGGGGTGGGTGGTGGTGCTAGGGCCCTGGGCGACCCCTTTATATCCAGTTTTGTGTCGGGTCTAGTGCTTGCCCCCAGCCCAATGTGCCCTCCCCCGCCCCTACTACTCTCCAAGGCACCATGAGGGAGTCCGGTCTCACCCAGGCTAAAGGGCCACCATGGACACACTCCTTGATCACAAAAAACGTGCCTTGGGGATAGGGACTTCAATTTCATGCTGCCCAAGGCGAAGCTGGGACCACCCTGAGACCCTGGACGGGTGTGGGGGGCTGGGGGAGCCGGACACCCCGCTAAGTGCACTTGACGCTGAAATGCCGGGGTGGGGGAGGGGCTAGGCTCTTGACGTGCTGGTTTGTGTCTGGGACAAAGCAGCGACACAGCACGCAGAGAGCTCCGCTGCCTCCCAAGGGTGAAGAGCAGAGATGCAAAGGCTTCAGGGGCAGTGACCCAAAGAGGAGTCAGTGAGCAAAAAGGAGGACCCGCCAGGAGCAAGGGACAGGGAGGGACACTGCTCCTCTAAGGATTCATCTCCCCTTCAGGACCGTTTAGCTCCACCCTTGAACAGATTGGAGCCCAGAGGAACGGATTAGGAGCCAGGATATAGCAAAGCAGGGGGACCTGGCCGTTCCCGTTGCCTCCCTGGCTGGAAAGCTACCCTGCACTCATGTCAAGCCCCTCCCTGTCTAGTTCCTGGTGCACTGCTTCACCCCCCGCCCCTGGGAGGTGGCTCCAGACTTCAGACTCCAGCCTCAGTTAGGCAAGGGGGGCCTGGGCATTTTCTCTCCCAGATCGGGCAGCGTGTGGGGTGGGCAAGGGGCCCAGCAAGGGGCGCTACTGCTCAGTCAGYGAGAGCCTCAGGATGCGCTCCAGCTCCTCCTCCTCCTGGCGCGCACGCCGCCGTCTCTCCTCCAGCTCCTGCGCTGACAGTTCCATTGCCAGCCGCAGCTGCTCGTCGTAGCTTCGGAACACGTGGCCGCTGGAACCCCGGCCCGGACTGGGCCGAGGGCTGGGCACCGGCGCTGGGGGTGTGGGCTGGCGCTGAGGCGTGGGCGGGGCGCTCCTGGGGACCGGAAGGATTTCTCCAGCGCTTCTGGCGTACCTGCCCATAAACCGGGCAGGAGACCCTGGGACATGTGGCTATGGGCTGCCCTGGCTCCATCCAGTGATGGCAGATCCTAGCCCGACATCCTGTCTGGTGAGGTTCTGAATGCCCAGAGACCTGGATTTCACCTGCCACCGGAGCACTGCCCACCCGCCAAATGCGGGGAAAGGGTGGTAGTAGACGCCATCTTAATTATCAGGTAGGGGCCCTGCTGAGGGGACCTTGGTTCTCTGGGTCCAATATCAGGGGTAATGGTGTACCCTGTGCGTGGGTGTTGGGGGGTGGGGAGAGGTCAGGTGTCTCCAAGCCCTCTTTGGTCTAGCTGGTACTGACCTGTCCTGACGGCGACCCTCATAGGACATGGGGTGGGTGCCTGGCTTGCTGTTGGTTAGTGCCTCCCAGATGGTGACCTGGAGGGGAAAGCCTCTTAGCTGGGCAACCCTGCACACACATGGCCTGGCAAGGCAGCAGGACGCACCTGGTCATACTCACTACCCGCCTCAAGCAGGCTCTGCTGGATTGCAAACTGGAGCAGGTCATCATCATCATCGCGGGTTGCTGCCTCCCGCTGGCCACCCAGCACGCTATAGCCTCTTGGGGCCTCGAATAATGCTGGGGAGATCTCACAGCCGCGGCAGGAGGCTGGGGGCATGGAGCTTGGAGTCAGACATGGATGTGGGCCTTTCCAGCACAACTCAGTGTAGTGGGAAGGAAAGCAAGCCAAGGTCAGAAGGGAAGACCCAGGGTAGGGGCAGGGCTCACTTGTGGAACTGGAGCTGCTGACACTGGAGGAGTCGCTGCCTGGGGAAGGGGTCTCGCTGCTGGGGCTGCCTCGCACYGATGGCACAGGCTCATCACAGCCATTGAGGTTCCCAAAGGTGATTCGGGCATTGAGAATATGGAAGATCGGGATTTCTGAGGATAAGAAAATCATCAGGTGCCACCACCTAAACCCTCACACCTCAGGCCAGCTCCTCTACCCTCATCTAAACTCATCACACCCCTCCAAAAGGGCTAAGGGGAAATGGCGTGGGGTCTCACCAATCTTCACTGGGAAACCAGGAGGCAGGCGCAGGGTAATGAAGTCCCGGAGCTTGGCGAAAAGTGCATTGCTAACAGCCATGAGGTCAATGATGGGGGCCACCTGCTCACACAGGGACAGGGGATGCTCCTCACACAGCCACAGCTTGGCCTTGAACCTGCCCCCCCCAGATCCCAAGGGGTGAGGGATGCTTCAGGAAGCCATGGCCTCCCAGCATCTCCTGGAGCCCTAGCCCTGCCCACCCCTCCCCAGCAGGAGCGGGGTCCTCACTTCTGTGTCTTGGTAGTCAGTTCCATGGGCCGGCCCATGTCCCGGTTGCCAAGCTCAAAGTTGGGGTTGAAGTATTCTTCTGCAGTGATGGCAGTAGGGTTGGCTTGGCTCAGAGTTTGAGTGATCAGGGTCTGTTCCACATGAGGAAGAGCCATGAGCCCTTCTCAGTCCCTGATTCCAGACCAGCCAGTTGGTACCATAAGGACCCCAGGTCTCCCTGCTGCCAATGTGGAACTGACATAGGCTTGGGCATTATGGAAGGAAGGTCCACATAGGCAATGATAGGCAGGATACCTCCCAAGCCTCCTCCTGAACCACATCCACACCCCTCCACACAGTGACACCCCTGGCACACACTCACCCCATTTTGGGGACCCCCATGCTGCTCAGCAATTCCCAGGAAGGACTGCAGAGGTGTCTTACAGCCTACAAGAAATGCGGTATCTCAGGGGACACTGTAGCCCTGCACACATGTGGACATCTCATTAGAAGTGATAATATCGAAGACCTAGGAAAAAGGCTGGTTCCTGGGATGGGAGAACTGCTCACCCATACTTAGGTACCTTTATCTAAAGGTGGTTGAGGACTCCATGGGCAGAGGCCAAGAGCATAGCTATAATAAAAGTAGGCATAGGGCCCAGGAGAAACTTCCAAAAGTGCCACTCTCCATGTTAGTGATACTGGGACAGTAATATACCTCCCTTCGTTAAGCAGCTTTGGTGTATGTACATGAGTTTCTCTTCAGGTACTTCCATATTAATGATTTCATTAATGATTTTGTTCTCCTATGTGGCAAGTATTATGTGTTTCTACCTGCAACAGATTAGCTGATGCCCAAAGAATCAGATGTGATACCAATGGGCACACAGAATCATGGCAGAGCTCCTGACTTTTTACCTATATAAATATATAAATTGTGCATGTGCAACATTTCCCTTCCCTCTGAAATGCAGCGCAGATATTAGTAATCAATTATAGGATGTCTTTCACTGAGCCCAAATGAGCCCTTAGAATCTTCCTAACAGTACCTAGGCAGCTGTACCAATCATTAGGGCTTGGGACTGAAACTGAAATCTATTTGCCTGAGTAAAACGGCCTGGTTCTTGCTGGAGTGCCAGAGGGAATACCAGTGGAGGTGCTGAAGTGGGAACTGATTCCTCTAGTGCCACAGCACCTCCTCCCATCTGCCATGGCCCCATTACCTTTGACCTTGCCCTTGTGCTGTTCTGAAAGGTGCTCTGTCCGAGTCCGAGTGATGAGCTCTACATTGGATGCCCCATATACCTGAGGAAAGAAAGGAAAGGGCTCAGAGGCAGTTCTAGAACCACCACCCAAGGAAATTCTAAACAAATATATGATACTGTTCATTTGCTTATTCATTCAACAAACATTTTTTGAGGAGCTATTATATGTCAGTCATGAAAGTAGGCCTCAGGGATACAGTGGTGATCAAGACAGATACAATTCCTGCCCCCATGAAGGTCACATTCTAGTTAGAGAGACAATAAAAGGCAGTTATAACTTACAGCTTTGCAATTTGTTAGTTAAACAATGACTATACATGGTCACTGAACTACTCTAAGCCTCAATTTCCTTATTATAAAATGGCTAATAATTCCTACTTCATGGAATTGCAAAGATTAAATGGGATACTATGGAAAGGGCTCAGGAAACATTTGTAAGATGGGAATAATAACAATACCTGCCTGAAAGGGTTGTGTATAAATGCGTGTATACGTGTGTGCACTTGTGCGTGTGAGTGTATATCCATACAGCCATATAAAATGTCAGACCAGTGCCTCAAAGTGGCTCAGTAAATGCCAATATAATCAGACGACTGTTAGTCTACTGTCACTTCTTCCTTGCAGCATTGCCTCTGCAACCTCCAAGGCTGGGGAAGCCTGCTAAGGAAAACCCCTGCCCAGTCTGCTACAGCCTTACCTTGGCTTCATACCCGTTAACCATCTCTGTCTTCTCACTGCGCCAGCCCAGGATGCCGGTCTTATTCCTGGGGAAGTAAAGTGGTCCAGGTGAAGTGAGCACTGCACCAGTCTGGCTCTAGGCTGGCCAAGGCCATGCCCACTCACCTCTCAAAGGAGATGTTCTTGGTGTCAAGCTGCGTAGTGACCACAGGTGCGGTGAGCCGGCTCAGCACCTGCTCCTCTGTGGGCTGGGCGGCAGCCAGCAGCAGCTCCCTGTCCTGCCCAGCCAGTGCCAGAGTCTCTGTGTACACCACCCGGCGGTCATGATCAATCTCCATGACCACAGCACTCGTGTCTGCCAGCCACGGAATAGCACAGAGGGGTCAGGGTGGCATGGGGCTGTCTCCCGTCCTCTCCACCCTTCCCCACCTCCTGCCTGCCTGACCTTGGCCCCTGAAGACGAAGCTGCGGTTCCCTCGCTGCCATGTCATGTGGTCAAAGCCCAGGAGCGTGGTGTCTACCCTCAAGTTCTGCCCGCTCTTCCACACTTTGTAGGTATCACTAGGGCAGATCTTGGACACCAGGGGCACTGGGTGGAAGTGGAGGTCAGAGGTAGCTTCAATTTGTCTGGCCCATGCAGCCTGGGCCAGCTCAGGGCACAGGAGTTGGGGGTCATTGCTATGGCCAGGAAAGGGTGAGGGAACTGGTGGGAGGGCAGCCTTTCCTCCAATCCCCACCCCCAGCCACCACAACAAATGTAGACCACACTTCTTCATATGTGAGCAACCTGAGGCTGGGGACAGGCGTGTCTCAGTCACCACTAAGTCTCTAGTATCTATTGTGTGTTAATTCATTCGCTCAACCTCTCATTCATTCTTTCAACAAATATTTATTGAATACCTACTACATGCCAGGCATTATTCCAGTCACTGGGGATACAACATTGAATAAGATAGGACTCCTGCCCTCTTGGAGCTTACCTTCTAGCAAGGGGTGACAGGTAATAAACAAATGAGCAAATCAGTACGAAAGAAACAGTAGTGGAAGCAAGCCTATGTGGAGCAGTCTGGAAAGACCTAGCTGAGGAGGCAGCATTGAGCTGAGAGCTGAAGAACCAGAAGGAGTCCCATGAAAAGCCCTGGGACAACGCTCCAGGCACGCAGACAGCAAGTGCAAAAGCCCCAAAGTCAGAGAGGGCCCCGCTCAGCCCCTCTTACCCCAGCTAGTGAACTCCCATTTCATCTCCACGTAGAAGTCCTGGGCCTAGAGGATGAAAAAGAGAGTGGATAAGCTGGCACTAGAAACAGGGCACAAGGGCTCTGGTCGGGAGCCGGGAGGCTAGGCCTTACTTTGCGCAGCTTCTCCAGGAGCACAGGGATGCCCGCCAACCTCTTTACCACCCGCTGGTAGTCCCGGTACCGCAGCACCAGCTGCACCAGCTCCAGGTCCCGGGTACTTACAGCCTCCTGAAGCACTGGAAGGAGAGGCAGTGTCACAGAGCAGGACCTGTTAGCCAACCTGAGGTGAGTACCTGATGCTGGGGAGACCCTGGCCGTGCAGTGGGGTGAGCAGGGGTACCCACCTGTCCAGCCGCTGCGATTCTCCCTGCCCACATCTGCGCCGTGTGCCAGGAGCACACGGGCACACTCCAGGTGCCCCAGTGTAGTGGCCAGGTGCAGGGGAGTCCGACCACGGGGATCCAGCTGCTCAATGTCCACCTGGAGAAGATGTTGAAGTGTAGCCCTGGTCACTTCTAAAGCGGCTAACCTGAGCCCAGCAGCTACTAAGCAGGAGTGACCCTCTGGCTCTGCCACTTTGGCCACCTCACAAGGCCATGGGAAAGACTGATATGATGAGCTGGTACCAGGTGAATGGAGGGGGACTTAGGAGACAGGGCAGAAATTAACTCAAGGAAAGGGAGAGGGAGGGCCTTCCTCCCTTCCTCTGCACCTTGGCCCCTGGCTGGGTTTCCTCCTCTAAGCTGTATGAGCTGTCTGCAAAGAGTAAGCCAGACAATGAAGGGTGGTCCAGAAAGGCTTTGGCCATGAGGGCCCCTAAGGCTGGACCCATCCTAGGGGTCCCAGACCACACCTTCAGTTTACATTACTAATATTACTGAGTGGAAGTTTTAAACAAGTACAGTAATACACTGAGTCATAAAGACATATTCATAGTACAATTTCAAAGCCATGTTCTGTGCCTGTGGGACACGATGTATTAACATTTTGCATAAATCATATTATTTTGTGAACAGCATGGTTACACTGCATAAGATTTTTGTTGTATGAGAAAAGCATATGTTTGTTAAACATAGATTTAAATATATCTTAGGAATCTAGGACTTGTAGTTAAATACAGTGAACTGATCATATGCATGTAACCCCTTTCCTTCCCAAAACCTGATTAAAATGCCAGTAAAAGTTTCTATTCCAATCATGATAAATTAAATAAAGTGGGGGCACAGAGGAGCTTGTCTATAATCCCAGCTACTCAGTAGGCTGAAGGAAGGAGGATCACAGGTTCAAGACCAGCCAGGGTGACTCTTTTGTCTCAAAAGAGGCTGGGGATGTAACTCAGTGGTAGAGCACTTGTCTAGCAAGCACAAAGTCCTGGGTTCAATTCTGGGGCAGGGTCGGGGAAGAAGTGTGTTTATGAAATTACTGTTTTCCAGACAGGCAACAGGTAGTCTAGGATTAGAATCCCTGAGATAAGAGAAACTAAGTGAGCCCTGTGATTTCCTTGGATTTCTGCCTAGAGGAACAATCCAGACTACAGTTCAGAGAGGGGAATCTCCAGCAGAGCTTGGTGGTCTCACTGAGTTGAGGAGACAGGAGTTCAGGGAGGCCGAGGTAGCTAGAAGCTTCAAGGCAGAGTTGTGAAAAGGAATGGACCTTGAGAAAACAAAAAAGCCTCCTCTGTACAGGAGTCCTTTTGACTCTTTGCTGAACACTAAAGTTCACATGTGTCCAGTAAAACTAAAATGAGTTTGTGCAAAAAAAAAAAAAAAAAAGAAAAAGAAAAAAGCAATGGATTGAGTTCTCAGACCTCACCACCGGCAGAGAGACCTTCAAGCTCCAACCTGCTAGAGTTGAGATTCTTTGTTGAACACCCAGCATTTTCAATAGAAAATGAACACTTCTGGGGTAGATGTGTTATGCCTTAGTAGTAGGGCTAAACTATACCTAGAGACACCCATAACAGATTAAAACAGTCTCAGTCAAGCACAGGAGACACGGCTATAATGCCAATGACTCAGGAAGCTGAGGCAGGAGGATGGAAAGTTTGAGGTCAGCCTCGGCAACTTAAATGAGACCTTGTCTCAAAATAAAAAATAGATGTCATAATGATATAGAGAAGATCAATGGAGAGAGATAAATAAAAGAGAAGAAGGAAGGGATAGGGAAAGAAATAGAGAACAAATCTAACAGAATTATGTTATATACAGATATAAGTGAGCCAAAGGGAATATCTCCTTTATATATCTATAAAAAATGCCAATAAATAAAAAAATAAAGGTGTGAAAGGAAGATAAGTGGAATACAGGAAAAAGAAAAGGGGGGTGGGGATTGAAATCAAATTCTTGAATGTATAATTATTTCAAAAGGAACCCAGGTATCATGTATAAATATAATCCTCTAACTAAAAAAAATTAAAAAACAATTACAAAACAAATATAGAAAAGCCTGGGGATGTGGCTTAGAGGTAAAGTATTCCTGGGTTAAATCCGAAGTGTCCCCAAAATAAATAAATAAATGAAACAGCCTCAAAAGGTCAAACTCATTTGCAAATAATTTACATGGTCTACAGAGCAAAGCCTAACACTCTTTAAGAGAAGACAACAAAATCCAGATGCTTAACATCATGATATTTATCACATCCAACATCAGGTTAAAAATAATTAGCTATGCCAAGAAGTAGGAAAACATGACCCATAATCAGGAGAAAAATCATTCAATAGAAATGATAAAGATAATGACTTAATATGCTCAAGAATTTAAGGAAAAATTCGAACAAGATGTTCATGAGGAGAGAAATAGGAGACAGCAAAATGAACTCAATAATCCATCTAGAGAGAACAAATATAGTATCTGAAATGAAAATGTCCCTGGCTTTAATTAATAGCGGATTAGGCATTTAAGATTTAAAAAAAAAAAAATCAGTGAATTTGAAAACAGCAATAGAACCATCCAAACTGAAGCACAGTTGGACTTAAAAAAAAAAGTGAAAAAACATTGAAAAAGCTCAGTCATCTATGAGACACTATCAAGAATTCTAATGTGTGAGCTAGGTGTGGTGGTACACACCTGTAATCCCAGCAGCTTGGGAGGCTGAGGCAGGAGGATCACAAATTCAAATACAGCCTCAGCAATTTAGGGAGGCCCTAAGCAGCTCAGTGAGAACTGTCTCTAAATTAAAAAAAAAAAAAAGAAAAAGAATTCTAATGTGTGACTGGAGTCAGGATAAGAGTATAATTTAAAGAAACAGTGGCCTAATTTTTTCCAGATAAAGCTATTATAGGAGTTGAATGATAGTGCCCTCTACAAAGATATGTCCACATCATATCCTGACCCTCAAGACCCTTGAATGTGACCTTATTTGAGAAAAGGGTCTTTGTAGATGTAATTATATTAAAGATTTCAAGATGAGTTCACCCTGGATTGTCCTGGTGGTTCCAAAATTCAGTGATAAGTGTCTTTATAAGACAAAGAGAGAAGAGAATGCTATGTGCAGTCAGAGGCAAAGACCAGAGTCATGCAGGGACACGCTAAGGAACACCTGGAGCCACCAGAAGGTTGATGAGACAAAGAAGCAGTCAGCCCTAGAGACTCTGGAGGGAGGGCTGCCTTGCCAACACCTTGATTTGGACTCTGACCTCCAGAATTGTGAGAGAATAAAATTTTGTTGTTTTATCCCACCCAATTCCTGGTAATTTTTTGTGGAGACAAATAACAAATGTGCAGAGCATGAATCTCAATGAACCCCAAGCAAGATAAACACAAAGAAAAATATATCACAATCAAATACAAAAAAGTAGTGACAAAAAGAAATTCAAAGAAATGAAATCCTTTCTGTATAGAAGAACAAATATAGAGCCAGGTGTGGTGGCATGTGCCTGTAATCCCAGTGGCTCAGGAGGATGAGGCAGGATGATCTCCAGTTCAAAGCCAGCCTCAGCAAAAAAGTGAGCCCTAAGCAACTCAGTGACACCCTTTCTCTAAATAAAATACAAAATAGGGATAGGGGGCGCTGGGGTTGGGGCTCAGCGGTAGAGCACTCGCCTAGCATCTTCAAGGTGCTGGGTTTGATCCTCAGTATCACATACAAATACATAAATAAAATAAAGGTATTGTGTCCAACTATAAAAACTAAAAAATATTTAAAAAAAAAAATAGGGCTGGGTGAGGAGCTGGGGTTGTGGCTCAGCAGTAGAGCACTCACCTAACATATACAAGGAGCTGGATTTGATCCTCAGCACCACATACAAATAAATAAATAAAATAAAGGTATTGTGTCCAACTACAACTAAAAAAAAATTAACATATATGTATGTTTATATATATATATATGTATATGTATATATAAACATACATATATTTTTAAAAAAAAAATAGGGCTGGAGATGTGGCTCAGTGGTCAAGTGTCCCTGAGTTCAATCCCCAATACCCACTCGCCAAAAAAAGAACAAATCCAGGAAATAATACATATTTCCCCACCAGAAACTTCAAACCAGAAGATGATGCAATGAAATCTTTAAAATGCTGGGCAGGGAGCAACAAGTCATCCCAGAATTCCATATCCAGTGAAAATATTCTTCAAAAGTACAGAAGAAATAAAGACTTTTGCAGACAAACAAAAGCTAAGAGAATTATTGCCAAGCCAGGTGCAGTAGTACATGCCTGTAATCCCAGCAGCTTGAGAGGCTGAGGCAGGAGGATCACAAGTTCAAAGCCAGCCTCAGCAACTTGGCAAAGCCCTGAGCTGTGAGACCCTGTCTCAAGTATATAAATAAAAGGCTGGAACTGGGGCTCAGTGGTTAAGCACTCCTGGGTTTAATCTCTGGTACTAAAAGAAAAAAGAAAAGAATTTATCACCAGATGTGCAGGAAATGTTAAAGGGAGTTCTTCAGGTAGAAAGAAAATGATTCCAGATGGAAACTTGGATCTATACAAAGGAATGAAAAGTGCCAAGAATGTTAAATTTGTAAGTATAATAATGTCAGTAAAATATTTAAAACTCCACAAGAATAAAGAGAAGAGATGTCAGGGGATGAACAATTTCAGCACATCTTTAGAACATGGAATGAGGCTGAGGCGTCACAACTGACTTAGGGGAGCAGAGGAAGCCAAATCCCAGGCAATCACAGAGGGGAGCCCTGGGAATAGCAAACTAGGCCTCCCCCACACACACCCCTGAGAGTTATCAGACCTGCCAGCAGTGGGGGAGAGGCTCATAGCTGAATACAGGAGACTGGTTAAAACTCAGAAGCCCTTGGCCCCCTCTCCAACCTCATGAAGCTGCAAGGTACCCCCTACTTACCACAAAACCCAAGGGGTTTATTCTCTATAGAAACTAAATGTGAGATATACTGGCTTCAGGGACACTGGCTACAGCAGAGGATGAGGTCATGCAGCTACCTGAAAACCAGTGACAGTGAGACCCCAACCCCTTCCTTCCTTGCCTTGGATCCTATGAGCTACTGATAGCCAGGCTGCAGCCA